GCGTCCTGACGGATTGACACGAGGGCCTACCACGAGCGTTCAGGGAGCCGCAGCAGGCGCCGATTGGTCGGCGCTGCAGCAGCTTGAAACTTAAGTTTGCTTTCGCAGGTTGCAAGCGGTCGCGGAGTCCAGTGTGCTAAATCTGCTGTGAGGTCCGGACTGCGAGGGCCAGCCTAAGGCTCTCGCGCTCCATGCTCCCATCCCCACGAAGGCTCGAATCGCCGGAACAGAGGCATAGTCTCTTTTGGGGATAGTGAGACATCTAGAACTAACTGGATTGTACACCGCAAAAGATTTAAATGGTCCTTTCTTATGTTGTGTGAAATTTACCACCGAAGAAAAGCGTCTCCTCTGCCTTTTTGACACATGGAAATGTGGAACAAGCAAATAGGAATATCTAGAAGGAGGCATCGCTGGGAGGGCTGACTCCGTCATCTCCATAAGGGATCAGCCAGCATTGGACAGGATAGCGCGTGGGCTTTGCCAAAAAATGAGCAGACACTCTCGTGTTCCGTGAGTTGCCACAGCTCTCTCCCTGGGCTGGAAAGGAAGAAGGTTCAGCGGTAAGGTCCCTGGGAATCCTTGGAAACTGCTCAAGGATGGAATGGGCTGAAAGGTGGGGTGGTTTCTTAGACCACACTGCTTGCACCACGTCATGGTTTGGAGTTGGAATTTCCCCCACCTGAAACTCGCTTCCTGGGACAAGACAGCAAGGCCTCCCTGCCTCAGATAGAACTCAGAGAGTTACCAGGACGGTTAGCTTCATGGAGGTTGCAAACAGCCCTGGAAATATTCTGAGTTCTCACCTGCAAGGTCAGGAGAATCTCATTCAAGCCCAGAAACTAACTGCTCTGAGGCACAAGGAGGGTTCAGCTGCATCTAGGTCCTGAGAATCCAGCATCCCAGAATGAAGGGGTCTACCTGCAGCAGAGCTCAGATACTTCCTCAGAGTAAAATGGGAAAGTTGTGGGCTAGGAATGTAACCCAGTGGTAGAGCACTTGTCCAAAAGGCACAAGGCCCTGAATTTGCGCCCCAGCACGACAAGAAAAAGGCCGGAGCGGCTGCACTGCACGGCCAGCCTTCAGGCAGTGGGCCCTTCCTTGGGAGTTAGAACCCCTGGCAGGATGGTGACATCCAGAAGGGAAGGGGCTCAAGACTCTCTCAGCCCCATCTACATCCAGAGATTTCCCCAAGGGCAGGGGTGTAGCTCAGTGTCAGAGTGCTTATTAGCATGTATGAGGGAGGCCCTGGGCTCAATGCCCAATACTGGAAAAAAAATTTTTCCCAGCAAGACAAATACTGATAGCACTTCAGGGGACAATACCAGTACCAGT